AGGAGGCTTAAGAAGAAATTCTAAATCCTAGAGAAAAAATTGGGAATCAGATATCATTTTAAAATGGTGCCTTTCAGTTTATAAAAGGAAAATCTACTATATTTCTATGGGTTATACATAGATTGAGAAGGGAAAAGAATGTTCTAATATATCCAGTAAATAGAACATTTAAAAATCAACACTATTCTGAGGAAATAGTCACAAGAAATTTTTTCTGAGTGGTTCATGCAGTCCTATTGCAACGAATTCCTGCTCTACTAGACCTCATTATTCATCATATTCTGCCCTTTGTTTTGACCTAAAAATATTCCTGGAAATCTTGACTCAGTCCGTCCATAGAGAATCCTGCAAGCTCTCTAGTGACTGTGAGTTCAGCTTTGAAATATCAGTGTTTAAAGTACTGGTACAGTCCTTTTCCAAGAGATTCTAACACTGTCCCTGCTTGTTGAAGGCAAAAATCCTGGCCCATTACCTGGAAGAGACTTCAGGAAAGCATTAAAGTAAAATACTACTATTAGTAAGTGATTGGGAACCAAAATGACTGTGTTTGAGTTATTATTAACAATTTTCAAATGTAAACAGTCAGTTGAGGGCTCATAATGAGAATAATACAGCAGATAAAAATTATAGTTCTTTCTGTGGCATAGAAAACAAAGAATAAAGCCCCTACCAAAAAAAAATTAGGGAAAGCATCTCTAATGAAAACTATTAAATCTATTTTAGAAGTCTGTGAATGGTATATCTAATAAAAAATGTGTTAAAACAATTTTAATGAAGAGAAAAATCTTGAAATATGACACAGAAGAATCCTGAAGCATAATTATCAATACAAGTAAAGTAATTCAGCAAGTCTGGAGTAAAGCCTCAACATACGTAGTGTTTAAACAACAACTGAAGACATAGCTGATGACATTGTACTGTTTTTGTCTAACATCATCAGTCACAGCATTGCTAGAACTCTGATAAATGTAAGAAAACTTGATGGGAATATTCCTAAGAACTGTGATCTATGTTTTCTGTGAGGATAAATATATGTAAGACACTAAAGGCAATGACAAAACTCTAGGAGCTTTTCATAAAGCATGTAAAATTTCTGAAATATTTATGTTTATAATGTCCTATTTATTCAAATTGACCTGGGAAAAGCTGAGTATCTCTTGTGATTTTACAGTTCTTCCTGTAGAATTCTTCAAACAAACCTAATTATTTTTAGCACTTTCTTTTTAAGTGAAAGGCAAAGTTTTTGTGACTTTTTTCCAGGGCCCTTTTGGGAAATCTCAAATGTATTTTTAAGTGTAAAACATATACTGAAAGTGTAAATTTTTTTCTATACTTCAGAACTCATTATGGAATGGTGAAAGTCAGGAAAAAAATTCAGAGAGTATTTGGATACTAAGATAAATTCAGAATGTCAGAGAAATACTAAAATTATATTTAAGTAAACATTTTAAACAATAAATTTTAAAAAAATAAACATAGATGTTAATGTGGTTGTAAAGAGCCTTAGCTTTTTATAAGTGAGGAGTCTTTGTTCTTTTCATTTTTTTTTCTTTTTTCTTAAATAGTCAAAAATGTAATAAATGGATACAAAGAACAGAAAATTATTCTTGTAATACACAGAAACTTTGCATATAAGCAGGTTACACAGATTTTTGAAAAGCCTTTCATATAATAAGCAAAGGAAAGAATAAGCTAAGAAAGCAAGCCAATTAATATTGGCCAAATTTTACTAACATTTTTGGAATATTTCAGCATCTTTTCAGACTCAAGAACTAAAAACCAAGGCAAGAAATTTTATTTCCAAAATTTCCCATTCATTTTATTTCTTCACATCCTACAAATTCTCCTGGGATCCATGAACATGAAACAATTTTACTTTAATATAAAGATATTAGCTCTGTAAGCATCCTAATGCATTCATCATTGCTATGGTTAAATGAATCAGTAAGTATTTTAAAATTTCTCAGTTTCAGGCTCCAATATAGTAAATATTGATAGCTATAATCCATATACCTAAAAGTTTTGGGAACTCCATGGTGATTCTCAAGATTATAGAGGACTTCTGAAATGGGCAGAAAACTGAAAACTACTTGGGGAAGGGGGATTACACTATTACTGTGTATACCATTATCCATTACTATTCTACTATTAAATACAGTACTACCGTAAAGCCCCTACTATAGAAAATATCTACATTCTCTTTAAAACACAATGTATACAGTAATTTTGTTCAGTTCCTATTTTTCCTTAGCATGGTCTCAACCATTTCTACTAACAGTGACATTTAATTAAGGTAACTTCTATTTCACAAAGGAAACTGGAAGTAGAGAATCAAGTACTATCTTTCTCGCACATTTCAGCAAACTGGAAATTTTATTTTGCAACTTTCTCTTTCTATATATATACACATATCTTTTAAATGATAAATTACATACACATTCAGGACCCAAAGACAAGAACTTTTCATAGGATATAAGCAAAAGTACATAAATTTAAAATTATGCCCATTAGGGATCAAGTTTCCAGTATTTCTAGTTAGAATTCCTAGTTGATACTAAATGAGTATTCATTATATAATTCAATTTAATGTCATTATAAAGTTTTATGTTATCTAAAGATTTTGGTAAGTATATTCAAGCTGACATACTTTTAAAAAGAAAACATAATTGCTATTGCAATAAAGTTTTCAGAATGATTTTATTTAGCTGAATATAAATTTATATTTCTTATTATTTTAAATACTATATATAACATTAATCTACTTGATAAGTATACCTAAATAAATTTAAGAGAAACATGTCCAAATGGAATAAAATGTTCTTTACATTGTACCTAATACTGATGAACCAGAAGACATAGTTTTATATTAAGTAAAAATTACTATACCAGTCTTATTTACCAAAGATTTACTGTATTGACTAGACTTCAGATTTTCAAAAACAAGTCTGAGTTTCTGTAAGAATAACTTTTAAAATATTATACATTTAAAGTATCATAACTTCAGTTTCCTAATTTCCTAGGAATTTTACAAATATTTAATTTATAAAAGAAATTATATAAGAACTCTCTTTAGACCAATCAGAAGAGTGTTGTTTTAGAGGACTTTTTCATCATATTTATTACACTCCAGGGATAGGAAAATATTGTGTATATTCAAGAAGAGGTAAAAGTCATCCTAAATTATAAGCATCTATATGCACGACAAACAAACAGCTAATAACTTCAGAGCTCAAAATTAGTAACAGATCAAAAGCAAACACACACACACAAAAATCACCAGTTCATATGTCAGAGAGTTGTTCTCTTTCCTGCGAACACTAAATTCTTAATTTGAGCTTAAAATAGACAAGTAGGCAAGCAATAAAAATAAAGTACTATAAAACTAGATTCCCTGTTATATGTCACCCAGCAGAGAGTAAATCTCTGTAACCCATTAATCTATTTACAGTGATCATAAGTTAGACCGTAAAGCCAAATTCCAAATCACTGCTGTCATGGGTAGGGCATAATTTATCAATTGTAAGCATTTCAAAGGCTAAAACAAAACAAAAATAGTAAAAATACAGGGGGAAACAAATGATCGGCAAAGTTAATGTTTTATTGCTACTAGGGATTTGTATCTGGGAGCCTATAATAAACACTTTCCTGCAACCAGTGCTGCTGTGCCCTCAGAGGACACTTTGGGCATCAGCAGTATCCCCTCCAAAAAGCTGCAAGATAATTTTCTAAAAAGGACATTGTGGTAACTCTCAAACAAATACAAAGCAAATGTGCTCCAAATTCCGTTTAATTCATTTGTTATAGAAAAGATCTGAAAGTGAACACAACTGGCTCAAAGGAGAATTCAAATAGCAGAACATGTAGATACAGGGTATAAGGAAAATTAAAGTGAAATAGATGCAAAATAGATCTCTATGCAGAGAAATAGCTAATTGCATTCCAGTAGACATAATTAATGTGCAAATTTATAGATGACAATAATACATGATCTGTAGTTCTCTACAACTTAAAGAATTGAAAAAAAACAGAAACAAGAGTAAAAATTATACGAGTAGATTAAACAATGTGGAAACTCATTTTTTGCCCATTTTAAAGACATTACAATTTTTCTGACTTAATAAAATATGAGTCCAAAATTTTCTTTTTCAATTGATACCAGAAACTAAAAACTATGAGTGAAAATCAATCCCAAAGCTGCTCTTTAGCCTCAGTAAAAACTGTTTTTCTTACCATTATTGTGTACAGTAGAAGGGAGACGAAGTAACAGCATACTTTTGCATATCAAAGATACAGAAATCCCAATGGTTAATATTTTTCAAGTGTTGGTATCGTGTAACTAGTTTAGAATTTTTCCCCTCCAAGAATTAGCCTCATCCAAATCTCACTGTTCTCTCTTTATTAATACTACATTATCAAATAGTTTTTCCCAGAGCTGCTCCCAGGGAGCTTGTAAGTATAATTGACAATACTGAATAAAGTGAACCAAATCATCATTTTGATAGGTTATAATCCGAAGGGAGGGGGCAAAGGCAGATCAGATAATTTTAAACTTTTAATAAAGAAGTTTTTCATGAAATCCACCATGAAAAGTTTCTTCCACTGATTTGAGCCAAACTTGAGATATTTTTGTTCCACAAACTGAAAAATCAAGGTAGGATTCTTTCTGAATTATAAAACCTCCTATCACATATATTCCTTAAACATCTCACTAGGATTTCTACAAAATTAGTAACCCTTAGGGCTCATCAGAGTCTAGATCAACATGAACTTGGAACACCACATTGATCCCACATACTTTCAGTAACATCACACCCCAGTGGTCCAAATAGGAATCATCCATGCTCCTGAGAAAAAGCATCCATGAGAAACACACATAATGGTCTCCTTGGAAACAACCTTTTTAGTGAATTCTGTTTTCTGCAATATTGAAGCAAAAAGAAAATTAATTTGATGCCAACTGTTGCATGGTCTTGACTAACCATGTAATTTGTGTATTTTAGGATCATCCAGGAGACAACTCTACCCGAATCTCTATCCAGACAGACCTCTACATACAAGCTGTCATTTTTGACCACATCTCCAGAAGGAAGACTTAAGCATCAACATCCTAGATGTTGATTCCTTATTGCTTGCTAATTTTAGACAAATTCTGTAGTTAGCAGCAAATTAGAATCATAAATGAGTATTATAGCTGGAAGGCAAATTAAAATAATAAAAGTTAATGGAATTAGAAAGAAAATGTTAATTTGCTTTATTGTATAGCTAGCCTACCTCTTGATCTGATTTGAGGTTTTTCTTTCTTTTTTTTCTTAAATCCTGAACACTGAGGCTGATTGCAACAGTTCATGGAAGAGAATCTTGTTGCCACTTCAAAGATACACTAATGAGTGACATATTTTGTAGCTCAGATTTTCCAAAACAAAAATGTTCCAGGTCCCAGTGTTGCCAAATCCAGTGGACCTAACATTATGCCATGTGGCAGTGCTGGCAGTGCTGGATCCTGAAATCACTAAATATTGATAAGGGGCCCCAAATGAGAAGACAGGCATAGGAAACACTATATGAATACAAAGTTTTCAATAAATACTAAATGAGTAAGTAAAATCTGAAATATTCTATGAAATGAATGAAAGGTTTGATGCACTTATGGGTCTACCAACATGAATCTCGTGACAATGAAACTGAAGAGATGAAATCTAAGGGAAACCAGAAGGTTTTAGAGAAGTAAGAGAAATGAACATGCTTTCCCAATGTGCCCTGCAGGTGGTTTTGTACAGAGAAGATATTACTCAGAGTCCACTTTTTATTTAACAGTTTATTTTTTATTTGGTTTTTCTTGTCTTTTGCATCCAATTCTCTTCCTTCTCTTAACAATCTACTAAAAAAAAAAAAATCTACTACTGAGGCAATTTAGTTGGGCCAAGTAAATTCCACTCTGTGTGTGGAAGTCTACTCTGTGTATGCGTCAAGGATGGGGGGTATGGGAGAGCCCAGGGCAGAATTGATGAGAAGGGTATGTTCCTGGGGAGCTGATGGTGTAGCACAAAATGCTAGATTCATGTGGGGTGAGTAGAGTGATATGAAATTGGATGTATGTGTGTTAGTGTGATCTCATAGTTTTCAATATATACAAATATACACCACAGATACAGAATCTGTGTATATGTGTGTCTTAGTTACTTTTCTCAATGCTGAGACCAAATACCTGACACCCAAAGTTAGAAGAGGAAAGGTTTATTGTAGTTCACTGTAGAGATTTCAGTTTATGTTGGCTGGCTCCAAGGCAAGGTGGCATGGCAGAGGAGAAACAGTTCATGACAGGCAGAAGGCAGAAAGGTGTGAGGCAGCAATAAGTGAAGTATTAAAGCAGCAAAGCAAAATATGTAAGCAGAAAGCAGTGCCAGTAGCCCTCTTTCTGTTCCTTATATTTCATCTTAGGGCAGGTAGCACTCATACCCAGAATAGGGCACCCTTAAGCCTAGCATCACACCAAGAATCAGTTCCACCATCACATCCTTAATTCCAGCACCACACACTCTAGATCCAGCCACCTCCACAAAGCTTCACCCATGACTGCATGAGACTTTCCAGTGACATCTAGAAACAAGCCATAACAATGTGCAACTGTATACCCACAGGTATCCACATGTCTACTGAGAAAGCAAGGAGCAGCAATATTCCAATATGAATAAGCACACCTAATAGCCATATCTTAGTTTCTCAGCACCATTTTCCATGAAGAAAAAGCAGGGATCCTTGGGAAAACAATTCAAGGATGAGGCAAAGAAAATACAAGAGTCTGGAGAAGACTTTGCCAGAAAGCTAAGAGGTTTGAAGGAGATGTATCAAAAAGACACAGAACCCAGCTTGGAAAAGTTCCCACTGGCCAAATCTGGGATAGTTTAAGAATCAAAATAAATAATAACATCAGGAGTCAAATAAGTAACTATGAGTTCATACTGATCCACAGACATGAATAGATTGGAAGTTAGATGAGAAGAGGATATTTACATAGTACTTCTGCACAAAATACTTATGAATTATACATGGAATGATGGAAATGGTGGAAGACACCACTTTCAGTAAGTGATTAAGGAGAATATCATTATCAATGAGGCAAACTTATTTTGTGCTCTACCAAGTAAGATTTATGTCTGAATCAATCAGTCAATGATCATGTTAAATTGGAATAGTAAGGCTTATCTGATGCAACCAAGGAATGTAGCATTCCTTTTGTAACAGCCTGCCGAAGTTGTATAACCTGTCAAATCAAGAGAAAACTCAGACACATCTGAGTCCAGAGACATCATGCAAAATAACTGACCTGTAATCTTCAGGAGTGTCAGATCATGAACACAGAAGAAAGACAAGGGAACATTCCCAGACCAAAGGGGACCATGGATACATTAAAACCAAACAGGAACCATCATTCTGAGTTAGATTCTGATGCTATAAAGGCAATTTGGGGACAACGGGTGGAAATTGAATGTTTTTTGAAGAATAGATGGTAGTAAAGTGAAAATGATTATTTTTAATTTTGAAGATTATTTTCTGGTTATATAACACAATTTGCTTAATGGAAATTGCACTTAAGTATTTGTGAGTCAAGGGGCATCATAGCTATTTATAAATAATTAAGAGGAAAAGGTCTTTGTGTTATGTCTGCAGTTTGCTGTGTGAGATTGTTTGCAATAAAAAAATAATAAAAATAAAATAAAATAGAAAATTAATTTTGCAATAAAATTAATATTTGTTTTATTACATACATTAATTCAAAATCCTAGTTTGTTATACTTTCAGTACAATGTGTAAATCTTATTATTCTATTCATTGATTTGACTATATTTGAACAATTGCTTTAATGGGTTCTTAAGTAATTTAATTGACTAAAATTTTTTAAACATTTTAAATTTCATTCATCACTTCAATTATATTTCATTTTCTAAAGATTTCAAATTTTTAACAAATAGGATTTCCCATATAATTAAATAACAATTATAAATCTTATAAATTAAACATAAATATGACATGCTATTTCAAATGTTCTAATATGGTTTGTAAGTTAATGAAATTTCAATTTAAAATCAGGTCTGAATTAATTGGTCAAATATCACATTTTAAGTAGAGATAGCACAGCTCATTTGTCAGCTATTCTATTATGCCAGCTCTTTATAAATACAACTTTAGAATGTTTTAATTATACATATTTATAATATGTTAAATACTTAGTATATTTACAGCTTATTTCTATATTTAAACCCAAGATTTAAAAACAATAAACAACAAATTATATCACCAGTAAACTTTACATCAGCTTCTGAACTGAACATACTGAGAGTAAATACACACTGGAGATCTGGGTTCGATTAGAGTACATATTTGTCAACCAGGGCTGCCATAACAAACTACAACACACTGAGTGGCTTCAACAACAGAAATTTCTCATAGTTCTACTGCATAGTTTTGTCAAGGTGTAGACAGACTTTGTTTCTCCTAAGATCTCTCTTGCAGATGACCACAGGCAGATTGTATCCTCACATGGTCTTTTCTGTGTGCACATCCTTTTCTTCATTCTCAAAAATCTCTCTGGCTCTCTTTCTCTGTCTCTCTCTCTCTCTCTCTCTCTCTCTCTCTCTCTCTCTCTCTCTCTCTCTC